GTCAAAATAGTGTCGAAATGCTCGATTTTAAATCGCGAACTTTTCTAGCGATCGAAATATGGGTTTTGACGGAACGGGATGTTACAGACAAGGTCCAAATGATGGCCAGTATCTAAAACCAAACGATAAGTCCCAATAGCTTCAACTGGAACTTTGGCTCGGTTTCCCATATAGATGAACTTCTCATTCATTTTGCCTTATGGTTTGGGTCGTAAGGAATCCCTGCATCGTTTTGGAAACATGAATGGTACAACCAGTGTCAACCCACCAAGTATTATAAGGAACCTCAGTAAATTTGATTCAAAACATACTGAAGCACTAGGCTTACCCTTTCTTTCGAACCATGCCTTTCTTTTCAAGCAATCTTTCTGATAATGTCCGGCTTTCTTACAGAAGCGGCATATATCCTTACTTGGTTCCTTCTTGTGGATTTTGGCAGATGACTCATTAAGCTTTGATAGTCCTTCCTTGCCCTTCCCATTCTTGTTCCATGGTTTCTTTCCAGCTCCTTTATGACCAACAAGATTGGCCGAATGATTTCCTGGTTTCTTAAGCCTTGCTTCCTCTTGAATGAGCATGCTTTGTAACTCATGCACATTTCATTTATCCTTTAGAGTATTGTAATGCACATGGAATGTGCCATACTCTGGAGGTAAGGAATTAAGGATGAACGTTACTAGGAAATTTTCATTCACTTCCATTCCCATGGTCTTTAGTCTTGCTGCAATGTTCGTCATTTCGACGATATGCTCATGCATGGTACGAGAACCATCAAACTTCATGGTGGTTAGCGTACCCATCAGTGTCCCAGCAAGCGACTTATCAGCAGACTCAGATTGAGAGCTTTCTTTCACGGAATTCATAAATTCCTTAGCACTTTCAGTATCATTGACAGTTGACTTAATGTTGTTTGCTACAGTCATTCGCATAAACATTAGGCTTAGTCTGTTAGATCTTTCCCAAGCTTTATGGAAAGACTTTTCCTCAGCACTGCTAGCATCAGTAAGAGCAGCAGGTTTCTCACTTAAGAGTGCCAAATCAAGATCCAGAACACCGAGGTGAAACTGAACCTGTTCAGCCCATTCAGAGAAGTTGAGGCCATTAAACTTAACAACAGACGTGGCTTGCGAATGAAGAGAAACAGGAACAGATGCTGCAAACATATATAACATGTACTCACACATTAATGCTTTGGGTAATAAGCATAAACTATAATACAGATTCGTAAGCATAAACATAAAACATATATTGGTGCTACCTTTGGGCAAAACAACAATATATATGCGATAAATAATCGTAATTGATGCTCAAAATAATCATATAATTGGTGATAGACATACTCAAATTAGATATACTTGCAATCTTTGGATATACTAAATATATCTAACCAAGCACATCAATTTACCACAATAATGTTCATGAATTATAAAACGAGCAATCAACCTTTGGGCGATTCGAAAATATTTTATAATCACGAACTTCAACTTTAAAGCATCACATAAACATTAGTAGTTGAACTTGATTCAACTTGATATCTATAAACCTTCTAATTTGGTCACTTTGGTGACTAACAAATTAATCATAACATAGATATCAAAGATAAAATTTAACTCAAGTCAAAGCAATTGTTAATTATAATTCTCAAAACACATACGCAAAACTTGTTTCATTAATGGGTTTTTTTATTATAGTAATTACTTAACTGATCAATCATCAAACCTACTGATCAAATTAATTACCAAGGAAACTCAAGCATGTTATCACAAACACAAGAACTTTATCAAGTATCAACCCATCTCATAAATGTATTCAATAATCACATATGCAGCCAATAGATAGCAACGAGGGAGAAACAATTGAATTGGAATTTGACAAACTGTAGCTTAATCAATAAAAAAAAATAAAAAAAGTTGGAAACCCTACAGCCGAAGCATAATGGCTCTCATACACAGAGCTTGGCAGACAGATGCAGCGGTAATAAAATACGTAAGCGAAAATCATCTATTCATGTAAACCTAAGGCTCTGATACCACATGTAAACATAAATCATAATAGCATGGATCTTAGAATTTGATGATTCACGAATCGATAATAGATCGGGGAAACCTACCTCGATCCATGACGAGAGCGGCGGCGGCGCTAGAGTAGTAATCACCGGAATTGAGTTTCTCCCTCTTGACCCCTTTAGGTTTTAGGTTTAGAGATTTCTGTGATGGCTAAGAAATTCTACGTAATGGGTTGAGAGAGGACCAATCCTAGAGCTTCTTTATATAGACCCACCATCAGGGTATATTAGGAATTTACCTATCATTAACCTAATCAATATAGGATTTACCTTATATATTAAACCATTAAATGATAATTAATTAATTACACTTGGGCCACAATTATTCCCTAGTCACATACGGGAATTGGGCTTACAACCTCTTGACCATGTGATTTGAGAAGGTGCAGTCAGCAAAACATCAACAAGGCAGGCAACTGGCGGCGCACAGCTTCTTCTTAAGTCGTCGAAGGACGGCGAGATTTGGAGAGAAGAGAAGACGACGGGAGGGAGAGCAAAGAGGACATCTCCTTAGCTCGACGAAGGACGGCGAGACTGTGAGAGAAAGGAAATGAAACCGAACTGTGAGAGAAGAAAAGACGCCGGCACGGGAAGAAAAGACGTCGACACGGGTGCATTCCGGCACCGCACTCGTCAGCAACAATTCAACACTCTTCGCCTCGGCAGAGAGGGCGACATTTCCCTTTCATATATCATAAATCAATTACAGTATAACCTCAATTAATAATTGATAAATTAATAATCTAGCATAAATTAATAATTTCTCCGGTTTAGACTTGGGCTAGTGTAAAAAGTGAATAAATTTAATAGAATTATAAGATAATAATTTTTTTGAACAAACCTGCATAAATACATTTATTTTTAACTCTATAAATCAATAATTATAAAAATAAAATTCATCTAGAAATTTATAATTTAGCAAGGATAATCTTAAAAGATATGAATATATAGTTGTTTGTTTATTCTTGAAGTTTAAGTCTAATAGAAGTTCATCTTGAACTTTCCTTATTACACTAAGTCTCTGTTTTGTTTTCTCTAATTGCATCAAATATTTTTGAAGAGTCGATGGAGCTTTAAATGCTTCCTTTAGCGTGATTGGGTCACCATATATTTGAGGAATTATGTTGAATGTATGATCAATGAATAGAGGACTTTTTCCAGAAATAGCACTGTTTAATTTTTTTTTACAAAAATATCACTCAACCCCAAAAAATTCCAAAAATACCACCCTTTTTCGAAAACCGCTAGGTTACGGGGAGGTTTTGAAAACCGCTGGGTGGGGTGGCGGTTTAGCGGTTTTGGTCCAATTTTTTTTTCCGATCAACTCCTAACTTCGGCCGAAACTTCAAACGAATGTAACTTTGCACTCGGGTATCCGATCGTAGCGATTTTTTTTTTTGAATCCGCATAACTTTTCGAGATCTTGCAAGCTGCAAATTGCCGTAGGCGGTTTGGTCCCGCCTTCGTCTCGAAAAACGTCATATGCTACCCCGAACGAGCATTTTTTCGATATCGTCAAACTTTGGGAGGCCATAACTTTGTGCTCCAAAATCCGAACGTCATGAATTTTTTTTCATTTCACATAAATTTTAAGATCTACAAGTTTTAATAGGATGAAATTTTCAAAACAGGAATTAGTTTTGGATATACGGGACTTTGGGAATAACTTTACCTTTACTTTTCACTAATCCATGTACATTTCGAAATTATGTTTATGTTAAAAGTTGTAGTAATTAAAAAGTTATGCGGAATCAAAAAAAATTATTACTTTCGGATTTTGAAGCACAAAGTTTTGGTCGTCCAAAGTTATTGAGGATTTTTAGCGTTCAAGGACTAAAACTTTGTTGATATATAATTGTTTCAAAATATGAGTTGTAGTGTGGTGGTTTATATGTTGTGCTGAATTTAGTGAACTATTTAATGAATTTGGGGTCAAACCATCATAGCTACTTTTTTTAAATAAAAATATTTAATAGGAATGATGGTGATTCGAACCTAGGACCTCTTGTAAACAAGGAAACATCTAAACAATTGTGCCAATACTTCTTTTAATCTCTCTACTAAATAAAAAGATTTCTTGTAAACAAGGAAACATCTAAACCAATTGTGCCAATACTTCTTTTAATCTCTCTACTAAATAAAAAGATTTAAATAGGAATGATGGTGATTCAAATCTAGGAGCTTTTGCACACAAGGAAACAACTAAACCAATTGTGCCAAGACCACTTATGTGATTTATGTGGATAAAAACATATATATACTGAAAACCGCCGGGTGGGGGTGCGTTTTTCAACAAAACCACCCTGGTATATAAAATGAACTTAAATGTTATACTGATAACAAAAACTACTCTAGCCCCCCTTTAACCATGCACCTTTGTAACTTGATCTCCTTCATTTTTAACAAAGATATCTCCTTGAATTTTGTATACTTCTTCATGGGGTTAATTGCATGGTTGGTCACTGAGATTACAAAAAACGTTCATGTTTGGTCACTAAAAATATTTAAATCCATTCTTGGTCACTCAAATTAGTTAAATGTTTCAAGTTTGGTCACTCTCCGTCTATTTCCGTTAACTCCAGCTTACGTGGCAGTCAACTTTCATAGTTGACCGATAAATACGTGACGTGACAATTAAAAAATTATTAAAAATAAAAAAATAAACTTTTATATTTTCCACCTCATTATTATCTTCATTAAAAAATAAAAAAAATAAAAAACCTATTATAAAAAAATAAGAAAATAGTCTTTGTCACAAACTACAGTACTACCCTACATACGCTGCCGCCCCTCCACCGCATCATTCGCCGGCATCCGACAGCTAGCATCGTTACCTCCGCCTGCTCTCCTGCCGGCCGAATCTCCCCTTTGATTCAAGCTGACAGAAAAATCGAAACCGATTCCAAACAAACGTAGCCCTAAATTTCCCACCTAATCAGATCGTGCATCCGCAGAAGAGGAAGAAGAAGCAGAGCATAGAGACGAGGGCGACGGACTCCACCGCAGAGACCAAGCTCCAGACGAGTTCGTCGACGATCGAGACGCCGAGCTCCGACCACCGCTGCGGCCCCCAATTCTGGACACCCCGGCGGACCCACCGAGGGGTTAGGTAGGATGCGGTGATGAAGCCGAGCCACCGCGGGAGGGCGGAATAAGCGAAGTCGAGCCTCAGGCATTGAAACAACATCGTCGCCGTTCAGTTTCTAGGGCCGCTTGAATTCCCGATCTGCCTTCTACGCTCCCCTGCTCTTCCGAACAATCGGAATGGGAGAGAGGGCTTTTCTGATGTCGGCCATCCTCACCGGCGCCGTCGGGATCGGGACGGCGTTCCTGTCGATGGTGATCGTCGATAGAGTCGGGAGGAGGCCTCTGTTCTTGTTCGGCGGGGTGCTGATGTTCGTCTCGCAGGTGCTTGTGGGAGCAATTATAGCGGCGGAGCTGGGGGACCACAGCGGGATCGGGAAGGGGTACGCGGTAGCTGGGAGCAATTATATATTTTTTATTTTTTTTATTTTTTAATGAAGGTAATAATGAGGTGGAAAATATAAAAGTTTATTTTTTTATTTTTAATAATTTTTTAACTGCCACGTCACGTATTTAACTGTCAACTGTGAAAGTTGACTGCCACGTAAGCTGGAGTTAACGGAAATAGACGGAGAGTGACCAAACTTGAATCATTTAACTAATTTGAGTGAACAAGACTGGATTTAAATATTTTCAGTAACCAAACATGAACGTTTTTTGTAATCTCAGTGACCAACCATGCAATTAACCCCTTCTTCATGTCTCCTGCCTCCTTGCTGGGTTTGGACATTTCCCGATGACGACTAGTGTCGACCAGCTCCTTGTTCTCGATCCCTCATCCATCACCGTAACCAATGTAGTCAAAATCTGAATTTTAATCTTAAAATCTTACGATTTTACAATCTTACCTATTGGTTCTGATCCTGATTTTACTTTGAAACTTAAAATCCCGTAAAATCCGGATTGAAAACTTTAAAATTCTTAAAATCTACGATTTTTCCAATTTTGTACGATTTCAAGGTTCACGTCAAGTCGTCAACTAGAGCAAAATGAAGCTGGTCGGGTCGGGGTTTCCCCACGAACTGGGTCAAGTTCACTTCCTTCGACCCAACACATAGACAACACAACCTAATCAGACATGCAATCCTCAATTAATTTTTGTTCTCTCTCTTTCGCAAGCGATACCCTCTCAATTAGCTCATTGTTTCATTTGTTTGTTCCCCATCCAGGGGCGGACCCACCTTTAACCAAGGTGTGTCGGGTGACACACCTTGATTCAAAATTTTTGTGAAGAACCTACAAATTTTTGGTGTAAAATTTACGAATATGGGACCTCCGACACACCTTCAATAATTGTAATCGACACACCTTATTTCATTACAAAAAAATTATTTTCATAATATTATTAAAATATGTAAATATAGTAGTTATCGGACTTCAGGTTAGGTAGTTAATTAGTTGGTTGCAAAAGTGTAAACAATTAATTGACTACTTAGTACATAATGAGTCTTTAGAAAGATAGCTATCACCTTAGAGACAACATCGATAGTTTGAATGAGAATTAAATTTGATTAATAAGCTGGTTGAGTCAAATAATTAGATTGTGAATTCCAGACTGTCTTTCCCCATAGCTTCTTCCATAGATTTTTCTTTAAGTTAATTTTCAACTTGATTTCTAGTTTAGTTATTTCTTTCCACGTTGACGCCTGTAGCCACCCTTCAATTATCGGCATCGAGCCAACGACATCCTCATGCTCATTTAAATTTCCACCTTGACACATGTGGCCACCCTTCGAGCTTCTCATACCAAATTTCTCATCTTAAATTAGTATTGACTTTACCTCTTGCAACTGCAAGCTACAAAATGACATTTTCCAGGGATTAGATAGCGTCACAACCCCTAAAGGGGTTGTGAGTTTCGCTTCCCCTTTTATAGCCGTCCTTCCTCCTTCCTCGTGATCTTACGGTCCATACTCATCAGGGGCAACAAAGAGAGCTGTCACACTGAATAATTTCACTCACTCCACCTATTATGGACGCGAGATGCAGTTTAGAGGGGAAAGATTATTGGCGACCAAATAGCCACCTTCCCCGCAATAAACCGTTCGCCTTCCCCAAACCTTTTCCCCTCCATCTGCTCCCAAACCCCCCAAACGGAACCCGTGCACCGTCGTCGATCAACATCGTCGTCGCCCTTTCTTTCCGTCCAACATCTCGCTCGTTTCTCCACTTGGTTCGAAGACCTCGTCGTTCAGAGTAGAGGTGCATCCGCTATATTTCCTCCACTCCCTTCTTCTAGTCAAATAATTGAATTTTCTTTCAGAATCATGCTTTGTCGTCTCTCCCGTACTTTGCCCGAGACATGGTTTCCCAACGTCCTTCCCTTGTCGATCATCGTTTCCTAGCAGCGAGCCCTGCTTTAATCCAAGGCCTAACAATTTAGTTTTTTTTGTTCTTTCAGTGCATTACCGGAGTTCCTTTCGCCGTCGACCTTTTCTGTGGAAGTGAAAAACTTCGCAGGTTAGGGTTCTTTATCCCGCAAGTTTTTGTTTTCTGAATCCAACGTTGGAATCCAATAGTGGTACTTTCAATTGGCGTCGTGGTACCACTACAAAAGCAATGGTACTGGTACCAGGTTCAGTGGTACATGTCAGAGTACCACTAGTGGTACATGTACCAATACATGTATCACGTGCATTTTCGACACTATCATTGTTGAATGTTTGGTAGTGGTAGTATTGTAAGTTGTATTCAATATGTCTAACAATGTAGTTTTTATTTTGGTACCAGGAAGGGAAACTTGTTGGTGAATGGAAGAAACAATGGACCATAAGAAGTTATCTAATGAACAGGTCTGCAAAGCTGGTTAAAAGTATAATCGGTGACTCAAGTAATCTGAAGATTGAGGAAGTAACGGAGAAAGCTATTGAGATGAAGGAACCACTACTCCGTGGATGTACTCAACTAACCCAGCAGTAGTTCTTTTCTAGTTGTTGAGGAGTATGCTATCGGTTTATGTACGTTTTCGAGTACGAACAAAGCTTGAACATTAGTTGGCTTTCAGTTATGGTGTTTTATAAATTTGAACCAATTCTGTTGGAGAAAACCACTAATGTTGGTTTAGCAATTATTATGATTTTGTGTTCCATTGTCAATTTTCCTGTTACATCAAGCACTAGCTCATCCTCTAATTACACGTAGACTATTTTTGGTACATGTACCAGTAACTAGTATTGATAAGTACCAGTAGTCCCTTAACAAATAACTAGTAGCGAGACATGTACCACTGAATACCACTGAATACTAGTGGTACATGTACAACTAATAGTACTGGTACATGTAACAATTGTTAGAACTGGTACATGAACTAATAATTAATACTGGTATATGTACCAAGTAACTAGCAATGGCACACGTACATGTAGGTACTATCAGTGGTACTCGTACGAGCATATTTGCATGAGAACACTTTAAAATGATTAACTAGTGTTTAGCAACAAAAATATGCAACTCCAAAAACTCAATAACGTAATATATTCCACAAGAGACAAATTTAAAGGTATCATACCACAAGTTTTTAATGAAACATCTAACTAGACAAACAACCAACAATATTTAGGTTGAGCTTTTTTCCCTCTTGTTGTTCAACTCTTTATTGTCCTGCCGCTGCTTCACTTTTGTGTACAATTTTTTAGATCCCTTTTTTTCCATATGTGTTGGTGAAAACCAATAATGTTGGTTAACCAGTTGATATGATTTTGTGTTAAAACAGTAGTGCCCTTATTTATCTAATTATATACTGACCTGTAGTGGTACAAATATCAGTAATTGTACCAGTACTGGTACTTGTACCAGTAGGTATTACTGGTAGTCTAGTACCAATCAAAAACAACAAGTTGGTACCACTGCCACTTGTCGTCTCCAGCACCCTCTACTAACATGTACCATTAATCAAATATAGGTAAAGAAGAGTGGCACATATACCATTAACTATTAAATGTAGGGATCAGATACCACTAGTAACCAATTATCACCATTACAAAGTCACATGTAGTGGTACATGTGCATAACACTTGTAAATAAATTCATCTTGATTCTTGAAACGCAAGTGTTCCCATGTTGACATGACTGCCGGGACAACAGTCGATAACACACCTGTAATTAAAAAGGAAACTTTAGATTAGTACCACTTGACCACTACCACTAGGTGGTATGTTAATGTACCACTGGAAATTTGATACCAGTAAATTAGTACCACTGGATGACTACCACTAATCGTATGCCACTACATGTCTACCAGTACATTATTGTCCTCGCATCAGTCGTACCATTTAAAAATTACTACCACTACCGAATTTGTAATCACACTTGTTAACCCTACCGATATTATTGGCTTCGACAGCATTCTCCATGGGGACGCCCAATGTTCTCTTCTTCAACAGGCTCGATCGGTTGCGGCAAGCAATCATCATCGTTCGCCACGTTGACGTCATCCAAGACTAGGTGCGGCTCGCAATCCTCGTCGTTCGCCACGTTGACGTTGTCTAGTAACTCATCGTGGAACAGGTCCTCCACGTCGAAACTGAGGTTTTCATCCACCATGAAAACATCATCATCATTCTCCGCCTCTTCAACACTGACATCGCCGTTCCTTGTGTATGGGACGTTGAGGTCGAAGCCAATTTCGCCATTCATTATGCCGGCGGCAGCAAGAAGTTCTTTCCGACAATCTGACGTTACCAGTCCGTTAAGCTCCGGACGTTGCTTTTGATGATGAAGAATCCTGAAATGGTAGGGAACCGTCGTTGTTGGTTATGGTTAGTAGTAATCCAATCCCACAAATCACGCATAAAAATATTCTCCATGCATTTAATTTTTTTTTTAATTTTGTCAATTAAGTAACTTACACAAAAGCCCTTGGTGTGTTATGAACCGTCGGATGAGGAAGGGGATCTACGGTCGGGAAGTGGGAAGCGAAACTCACAACCCCTAAAGGGGTTGTGACGCTATCTAATCCCCATTTTCCATATATGAGTTTAATTAAGAACAATTTTTGGTATAAGTTGAATGACCAGTTTATGAATAATTGTTTCATTTTGTACATAAAAAATATTTGATTTGCAATCTAATGGACAAATGCAATTAAGAAATCTTTAAGAATAT